GGCCAGGTCCCTGAGAAGCCTCCTACCTGTGGGAGTGGGCCTGGTGGGCTGAGTGAGGGCCGAGCGGCCTTTGTTGGTGTGCAGTGGGCATGCGTTGCAGGTGGGCCTGGGGGCCAAGTGGACAGACAGGGGCTCACGCAGGTGGTGGAGAGCACTGGCCAGGCAGTGGAGCCGAGGCTATGGGGGTAGGAAGTGGGCTGCGGGGATGTCTGGTGCTCCTGTGGGTAACCTGAAGGGGATACCAAGTTGAGGGGAGCAGTGGCTCTGTTCCCCTGGTCTCCACTGTCTCTTTGTCCTCTCATGTGTCTCTGCCTCCTATGCTGCAGGATCCCCCCATGGGGGATGGGGATGGGGGAGGGCGCAGAGGCAGGGTTGTGCTGCTGGCAGGGGACCTGTGCCTGGGCCTGGCTTGAGCTCCCAGGTCCTGAGAGGCCCTAGGTGTTCTGGTCACCCCAATGCCCTGGCCTGAGCTGATACGCAGATAATCCTGGTACTCCCTGATTGCCTTGTGAGCAATGTGGGATGCTCTGCTCCACCTCAACTCCATGCCTGTCCAGGCAGCAGAGGCTCCTGCTCAGGATCTGCCACCAGGTGGAGCTGAACCCCATGGACCACAGTCCTTGGCTGGCAGGGTCCCGGGGCTGGACCGAGGCTATCATTGAGCATAGTTCATTTGCTGCAACCTCCTTAGTGACAGAGGCAGAATTCGGGGGCCAGTCAGCGGAAGGGGGTGTAAGGTCAGTTCAAGGACTAGGAGAGGCTGGGAATACTGGGTACAGGGTGCCCTGTGCTCTTGGACATCAAAGGACAGGAGCAGGGAGACCATGCAGGGGTTCATGACTACTGATAGGACAACTGAAGTACAGGGACGCAACACACTTTGGTTAGAGGGACTGGGATGGGACGCCTGTCCGCCTAGTATGTGTGGCCTGGGAGAAGCCACTGCTCCCTGGCCTTGCTACCCTGGGGCACAGTTACACAGGGCAGGAGGGATCCTGTGGAGTCCAGCAGGCTCAAGAAAGGGAAGGAGACAAAGCTGGAGCTGGGGGTAGGGATGGTGGAGGAGGAGAGAGGCTTTTGCAGAGAGAATGAAAGGCATGAGTTATTCCAGTGTGGAGAGGCTGGCAAAACTCCACTGAATGTTTAAACAATCCTGTCAATTATTCATCTCCCTGTATGAGCCGCTGGTCTGCAGCAGAGCTCCTCTGAGCAGGGGAGAAAGGAAGGGGAAGGAGAGAGGGAGGAAGCAGCAAGCGGGGAGAGAGAGTAAGAAATACGTACAACTGGAGAAAGAAATGGAAGAGAGGTGTGTACCTGCACGTGTGTGTGACAACCCCATGCTTAGATTTCTGGGTTGGAAGCAAGACTGACGCATACTTCTTGAGCGGCTACTGAGACCTCTGCCTCAGTTTATTCAAAGCACAGCCCACATTCTTCTCCAGGAGGCCTCACTCCCAACTATGGGAGGCTTACTAGGTGCATTCAGCAATGTGGGTCCATGTGGCAGTTAAGACACTGTCCCTATCCTGCTCCCTCACCTGCTCCATGCCTGGAGCAATGGGAACCTGGGGAGGTGGGATGGGTAGGCGGGAGGGGGGCATCTCATAGGCCTCTTGAGTAGAAGCCACTGAGCTCACCTGCTGCAGTGCTGCTGTGGGAAAACAGGTAGTGGCTCAGCAAGAAGAGTGTTTGGAGAGCTGCCGCATTTAGGATGACCCCAAAATCTCCCCTTCACACCCACTCAGCCCCCATGTCTTCAGGGTAGATGTCCTTGGCTGCTTGGAAGGGAAGCACACGCTGCCTCTTAGTACTTGGAACCTGGACCTTGGCATGCCTGCCCTGGGCTGGAGCCTCGCACCACAGAACAAAATGGCACTCACAAGGCCTGCGGCCAAGCCAGATGTCAGGAGATGGGAAGAAATGGCTGAGTTTGGCAGGGACCCGGGTTGGGTTGGTGGGCTGTGGGACCAGGATGGACGGATCGCGGGGGCTTGGCACAGAGGCATAGATGCACCCTCTCTGCTGCCCCTCAAAGTGCTCCGTTCTCCACAAAATGTTCTTTTTCCGCTAAGCAGAAAGAGCCAGTTGGCTTCCTGTGTCCTGTGTCTACATCTGGCATTATGGGTATAAACAGGCAGTACTGGGGAGTCAGGAAATTCTAGGGGCTCATCACCTAGGCTGTGGCCAGGAGCTGAAAGCGCATGTGCTCACTGCTCACCCTCATGTGTCTCTGCACGGCTTTTCCTGCAGGTTCTGCCACATGACCACCCCCAAAGACACAGCTGGGAGCTACAGGCTTGTGGCAGGGCCACTGCTGCTCAGATGGGTCCCGGCTCCTGTGGGACCTGTCACCGCTCTGAAGTCTATGGCTCACATTGAGCTCTGAACTCTCTCTCTCTCTGCCCCATGGTGCAGCCTCCTGCACTGCTGTGCCTTGTAACTTCATACTACATGATCATGTGACTTCTGTGCTCCTGTGCTCCCTGGCCATGTTCTGTTGCTTATCACTCTGCTTCTCGGTTGCAGGAGTCCAGGCATCGCCATGTAATTTTGCTTGGTTGCTATGGCACGGTGACCTGTGGTTGTGCAGTTACCTGTGATTGTCGCAGAGCTGTACACAGGTGCTATCCAACCACATGCTACTACTGTGACAGGCTCTGCTGGCCCTGCAGAAGGATGTGTGTGTGTGTCTGAGTCCTGGCCTGGTCCTTTTGAGCTCTGGCCAGCAGATGGGAGCTGATGTTCAGTACCAGTGAGAGCAAAGTGTCTGGTGGGACAGCCAGCATGGCAAATCTGAGTGTGAGGGGCCCAGAAAGAAGAGACAGGGGCTGGATTTGGGGTAGGAAAGAAAACAAAGGATGGAACTGAGAGTCAGAAGCCAGGAGGGGAGGAAAGGACAGGGTGGGCCTGGACCAGAGGAGGACTGGCCAGGATGGGGGCTACCGCCCTGAACACTGTGGGTGTGTCTCAGGGACCTGATAGTGAAGGCCTGAGGGCCTCTGGAGCTGTCAGGGCTTCCTGGGCTGGACTCAGAGCAGTATGGAAGGCTGAGGTCAGAAAGCCCTGAGGAGATGTCTCTGCTCTGCCACCCCACGACCACCGCTGGGAGGAGGGAGGGCCAGAGTTGGTTCTTCTAGGGTCCCCTCTGATGCCCTTGCTGTCCAGTCAGGGGTTCTGTGACACTGTCTAACAAGTATTTGCCAAAGTGTGTGTGTGTATGGGGGCCAGGACTGCACAGGGCCCCACAGCCCAGAGAGGGCACAGGTGCTGTGTGCCTTAGGTCATAGCTGGGTGGCAGCAGGTGGGGACCCAACCCAGTAGTGAACCAGCAGCCAGTCTTTGGAGCCTTGCCAGGTGTCCAGAAAGGAGGAGAAAGCAGGGGCTGAGGACCTCCCTTTGGATGCATAGCCCCTGTATGGGAGTGCCAGGGTGACAGCCAGGGTGGACATGTTGGGGTACCCAGCATGGGACCAAGTTTACTCTGCAGGGGATAGAGTAGCCTGAGCCTCTGTCTATGTCCTGGGCCGCCCAGAACTGTGACCTGGGGCCTCAGGCCACTTGTTTCCTTCCCACCCAGTCTGTCACTCCCAGGAGTTACTGTTGCTCAAAGACAGGGCCCACTCATGGCCAATCTTGACAATCCCGGCTGCAGTCTGGTCTCCTCTTACCTAGGTTAATTCTTAAGAGAGCCTAGAGACTGATGGTGCACTACTGTGTTATCACACTATTCTTTTTTTTTTTTTGTCTTTTTCCTTTTTATTGGTACCGGGGATCAAACTCACGACTGCCTGCTTGCAAGGCAGGCGCTTATGCTGCTGAGCTAAATCCCCAGCCCCGATCACACTATCCTTTCAGGTAGTTTTAAAATGTGTCTATTGACCACCCATCGCATCCATCCTGTATCTCCAGCCTTTTCCTCCCCAGCTCGATTTTTCCCTCCTCCCCACTCCCATTATTATTCTCATCACATTTGATAAGCATAGCACGACCCCAGACAGCCCTTTCCCCTCAACCAATCCACAGCACTGAGTTGTCCGTAGCTGATATCTCCTGCATAATCCAGGCCCTCAGACCTGTGGCCTCACACAGACCCTGGATCCTTTGCCCGGCAGATACCAGGCCCAGGAAACTAGCCAGAGGGAACTGCGGAAATGGCCTGAGAGCTGTGGCATCAACAGAGGGTGGAAGGGTCACTCAGTGGGGGTATCCCTGGGCCCACTGGGCAGCACTCATCCTTGCTGAATGTGCCGATATGTCCCAGAAGGGCACAGGGGTGAATAGGTGGGCAAGGAGGCTATTGGGGGTCAGTGATAGATCCCAGAACAAAGAGGACCTGGGCTTCCTTTGGGCTGGTGGCCCTGTCTGGGGCCTGTCCTTAGGGGCTGCCAGAGCAGTGTTCCCCATGGGTCTCACTGGGGAGGAAGGGGGGAGCTATGGCTGGAGTCCCCACTGGGGACTTGGGCAGCCTGTTTCTTAGTGCTGTGCACCAAAGGGCTGAGACTCCGCAGTGACCCCTCCACATACCAGCTCCCACAATCAACAACATGGGAAATGTCATCCTCTTTTCTGTGAACCCCAACTTCCTCTCTTACAAGTTCCAGATCATCCCTGAGCACTTCCCATGACTCAGTGGACATAGTTCCGAGGGATTTGGGACAGTGCTGCAGGCACTTATCCCACAAGAAGCTACATGAGAGTCTCGTTTGTAGCTCAGTATGGTGGTGCACATCCATACACCCAGTGCTAGGAGGTTGAGGCTTCAGGCTTGCTGTAAGTTTGAGGCCAGCATGGGCTACATAGAGAGTTCAAGGCCAGGCTGAACTACACAGTGAGACCCTGTCCCAAAAAACTGATAAAATTAAAAAAAAAAAAAAAAAAAGGAAGGACCCTGCCTTCCACCATGTTCAGAGTACCCTCATCCCACGTCCCACATCCATCCTTCAGGTGGCTTCTGAGCTGCCTTCCCCAAGCTTTTGTAAGGGGTGGAGGATGGGACTCACCATGTCATATGATGTCTCTGGCACCTGGGGCTCTTCCTCTGATTCCAGAGAGGTGGACACACTGGAGTCTGTTGAGCTCACGGTAGCGTTGGACCAGGATTCATGGACGGGACTCAGCTTCTTATCTAGGATCTTGAGGTCCAGGGTGGGCAGAGTCTTGCTGTTGTTGGGTGTCAAGAAGTTTTCTGGTCTCTGAGAAGATGCAGAGAAACTTTGACTGGACCCTTTCTCTGTGCCTTTCAATAGCCTGTAACTTCCATTCTTGTAGTTCAGAATACCTGGTTTCTGTCTACCTCTTGCTATGGCCCCACCCTGCCTCCAGCTGGTTTGTTGGGCTCCAGCCACACCATCCTGCTGCACCTGCAACAAGCCACATTCCTGTCTGTCTCAGGGCCTTTGTATCTGCTGCTCTTGACTTGGAAGGCTGTGTGCAACTTATATGCTATCTTCATTGTTTAGACCTCAGCCCATACTTCTCCAAGAAGCCCTGCCCATGAAGCTATAGACCCCTGCTCTACCCAAAGTAAACCCACTCTGTGAGTACTCTATTCATAACATCCCATTTTACCGTGCTTATAGAGCTTACTCTATAGGAAAATTAACTTTCAAAAAATGGGTTTACTTGTTAACTTCCAGCTCTTCCCCTGCCCCTGAAATACCCAAACTACAGTGTAGGTTCCCCCTAAGCAAGGACACTGTTCACCCTACCTGGCTCATGGTAGCTGCTCAACAAACATATGGGTACTCAATAAGTTTGTCACTCTGGACTCCTTCCTCAGGACAGTAACAGCCTCCCAAAGCCCCTTACTCTAGGGCACCCTTTGCTATGTAGAATGTTTCCATTTCATCTCCTTTCATCCTCCAATCTCATTCAAAATATGATCCTATTCAGACCCTTCCCGCACAGTGCCTTCATGCCTCAGCCTACAGTTGCTTGTGGTTTTTCTGGGTTCTTCCAGTGTAGCTGCTGCCTCCTCTTTCACACTGTTCTTTAATCTCAGACTTCCTTGCTATTTTTGGTTTTTTAACAAAAACCTTTAAGGTTCTGGGTTTTAGGGGTGCATGCTTGCTTCCCTTGGAGAGAGGCAACTGAGAAGTTTGCTTGAGATGCATGGTTGGTTCTAAAATCTTCCCATTGTTTGAAAAACCATGCATTTGTAGGTATCTCAAAGATGGCCCAGTCCCACCTCCCAGCAGGGGTTGGAATCCTCTCTTGGCTGCATAGCACACACTATCCCACATCCGGAGCACTGTGCTAGATCAAGGACAGCAATAGGCATGGTGACAACCAGGACAGGTGTGCTCAGAGTTAGGGGTGCCCCAGTGTCTGACCCTGAGCCACCAGCGATGGAATGGGGGCAGTGGATGGACCTCACTTGAGGTGGACATTTGTCTGCACATAGGAACCTGATGAATTGGGAAGACAAAAGTTCTTCAGTTTACCACTGAGACCCTCTAAACAATGCCTTCATGTGCACTGCAATGTACAATCCCTGCATGTGCATGTGCAAAAATGGAGTCTGTTCAGGCTTGGGTCAGTAGAGCAAGGGACAGGTACACAAGGACCGGACCATCCGAGTCAGGTCCTGATTTCTTCCCTGTGACATTGGGGATGGAAAGACAGCAAGGAGAAGACAGTATGAAAAGATGCTGGGGATGGGAAAAGGGGGGCCTGGGGCACGAGGCTGACTTTGGGGGCCAGCTACTACATACCCTAACCAAGACTCTGGGTGCATTTTGTCCAAGTGGACCAGGCCTGGCTCTTTCTTCACTTGCTTCTCTTGGTAGATGTAGGCTGGGGGGTGGGGTGGGATTTATTCAGAGGCTTCCAAGGGCAGGAAGCCTTCTACCCTGTGAATATACACCATTCTGCATCTACATCACACAGGTTGAGTCCCCCTGTGTGTGACATCATCTGTCTCCCAGTTGGAACTGCTGACTTCCAGACTTGGGCAGAGGAAGAGCTACGATATGCATACTGGACAGATGGATGGATGGGTGGATGGAGGAATGAAGGAAACAACAAGAAGCCTGGGCGAGGACTGCCTTCTCATTGACCAGGTGGCCCCTGAGGCCAGGGTGAGATGCTGATTCAGGACCTGTAATGATATTTCTCCTCATTTCCAGGCAGAAAGCCAATTTCAGTGCCCTGGATTTCATAGACTGCCCTCTAATTCAGTTAGGGAAGGAAGTAGAAGTAATGAAATCATGGGAGGCCTCCAGTCCTGTGCCCCCATCAGTCCTGAAAGCAGGGACAATTGTCCAGGGAGTCCCCTCCCCCACACCCAGGCTCCCTGATGTCCGCTCTGCATGGCAATTCAGTGACTCAGAGCCCATGTGCTTCCTGAGCCTCTGGTCAGAGTCTGGTACTTGTCAGGTTCTTTTACAGAGAATCCATTAAATTTCGTCACAAAGCTGAATTAAAAGTGAGACCACCCCTTCAGTGCAGGCCAGTGTCTTTACTGGCAGGAAGGGGAATCACAGTGTCCATGGGCTTCATGTTTTTCAGTTCACCCAACCCAGTGTCCTCCCGCAGCCCTGCCAGGCTCAGGGGCTCTGCTCGCTCTGCCCTCCCTCATCACTCATCCTGGCCTGGCTTGCTTGGTACTGTCACCTCCCACCCCAACGACCTCCCGTGCATATTTCCAGCCCCCATCTCATTCAACTTTCTGTCCTCGGTTGGAGTTGGGAGATGAATTGGATGGAAGAATTTTTCTGGAAACATCTTTATACCTATAAGCAGTGTAGGTCCAACAGGGGAGGCCAGAAGCAGTGACTTTCATGGTGTGAGGTGCGGGGACCAGGTGGATCATTGTGCCACCTCCCACAGCACCCAGATTCTCCCAACAGTTCCCTTCCTTTAGGGCGAGCATTGCCTTCCCTGGCTCTGCAGCATCAGTGTGTGCACGTTTGGGGAAGGAGCTGACCTAGGACCACACGTAGGGGCCAGGCTGCTGGAGGATGAAGAGAGGGCGAGCACTGGAGATGAACCCTCATTCTTGTCTTGCTCCCTCCTTCTTCAGTGCGGATGGGAGCAGAGCTGCCAGCCCACCCTACAAACTTGTTTACGTGCTTCTCTGTTTGGCAGACTGCCTCTCTTGCTGGGGCAGCTTGGGGCTGACAAGTGGCCCCTGGCTCTGTAGCTCCGTGGCTGCAGCACATCCTGCTTCATTAGGGCATTAATTGGAGACTGAATTTGAAAGCTCAAAGCCATGCACAGACATGCGCTAGCGTGGACTCAGGGCCCCGCCCGCCACTCCTTGTGCTGCTGCTGCTGTGCCCACATGCACGGCGATGGGGAGAAGACGCCCCCTTCCCTGCGCCTCCTGGCTCTCACCGTTGCTGGCAGAGACAGACTGATCAGGCCAATGGCATGCTAGGCTGGAAGCTTCTTAGGTCACCTGGCTCCCTCCTCCTCCTCCTCCTCCTCCTTCTCCTCCTCCTCGCAACCTCTGCCTCCCTTTCCTTCCTCCAGCCCCTGGATCCCTGGTCATACAAAATGCAACAGCTTCACCCTGCCCGGGCAATTAGGGAGTGGCCAGACCACAGCTGCTGTCCTTGGTTCTGAGAATACCCGGCTTCCGGTCGGCCCGCCTCTCGCCCCACCCCGAGCCTCCTTGCTGGAGAGCACACTCTCTTAATTCAATTAGCTGGCCCTGAACCCTCCCCAGGGAGTCGGAGCGGAAACTGACAAATTCTGTTTAACAAAGACATTTGTCCCTCGCCCCGCCGGCTTTGGGTTCTGCACTCCTGTATCCTGCTCATTAGGTATCTAACAAAGTGCGTCCTAAGAAATCTGCTTCCAATCGCTAGTAATTCAGGAGACCTGATGCAATTTTCTCCCTGATAAGGGTGTCTCGCCCGCTGGCAAGCGCTGTAATGAGCCCTGTGCAGCGGCTCCCTGATCAGTCATTGCTTTGTCATTTCCTGTGGCCACAGTGGTAGGTTCTTATCTCTTGTGTGGTAGGCAAGGCTCAGACAATGGGATCCCTCAAGAGGACTGCGTCCTCCCCTGCATACTGCAGGCTCATTTAGGGCATCTTGCATGGTCTTGCAGCTGTGGTGAGTCTGTCTCCCAGCCAAGAAGGGCCCAAGTGTTAATTCTCCATGGGGCCATCTTTATTTTCTAGAAGAAGGTGCCAGAGGGTTAATCCAAAAGCAAGTTATGGGGTCAGGGGAGGGGAGCCACTGACAAAGATTTTGTCAGGGATTTTAGGATTAAACAGAGCCTTGAGTGTAGCTCTGTGGATGTGTAGCTCTATGACTCTCATTACCCTGAAACCTGCTCTTTCTGTATCTAATCTTTACTTTTCTTTAGAGACCGCTGAGTCACATCTATAGAGACCTTTACAATCTATAGGCCAGACCACATCCTATGCTGCTTGAGGGCCTTCCTTAGCTTCCTGTCACTTTTTGGCGAAATCCAAATCCTATATCCTAGCACTCAGGGCACCCGCAATCTGGTTCCCATCTAAGTCTCTAGTCTCACTGTTCACCAGGGTCCTCATATGTCCAGGGTCCAGACACTGCCACATCACTGTCTCATTACACATGCACTTCTGCCTGATGCACCTTTGCTGGTTGATTTCTAAACCAGAATAAGGCAGTGCTGAGACCACATCTCTAAGACCCTCTTAGCAAGATGGGTGGAGATAATCTGGTGGAGCACAGCAAAGACAGGTTAGAAATCTAATCCATGGTTGATGAACTGGTTGACTGAAGGCAGGTAAGTCTAGGCTAGGGGCAATCTGGCTTTGTGATGGGGACAATCCTAAGGCCATCCACCACTTTCTGAGAAATCTGGTCTGGAAGCTTCTGCCCCCCGTCTCTCTTCTTTCCCTCTCCCTTCTTCACAATATGCCTTGGGCTTATAAAGAGAGTAGAGCAGGGTGAGACCCAATGTCCCGTCTTAGTCATACCAGCACCTCCTGGACCTGTCTTTGTGGCCTCCGTAAGCAAGCAGCAGGATTACAGTCCCAGGCAGCACAAGCTCTGGAGTGAATGCAGGGGAGTGAGCCTGAACCAGGCCTCTGAAATTCCTAGCAAGTGGAAGCAGCATAACTTTTGGAAGCAGGTCTTCACTTCTCCATCTCCTGCATGGCCCCCCAGTTCAGGGCAGGCTGCTACCCTGGGAACTTCAGACCATCTGACCTCTGAGGGTCACTGTCTGTCTTTTTCCTATTTCTTAATTT